ATGAGTTAAATCAGTTAAGTAAAATGTTAAAGAAGGCGATTTGTTTCAATCAACTAGTGTTGGTTATTGCATCCTGCCCGTTTTTGTTACAGTTATACATCTATTTCGGAAGTTACTTTAAAAATTCACATGGTCGTTTCAGTGTGATGTCAGAAGGAGTAAGTTAAGCTCCAGGTGGTAAAAACAGTAAACTCCAGGAATGCGTTCCTCATGACACTGCATATGTATGTACACTTAATTCCACTAACGTATGTGTTACGGTCTGCAAGTTATAAGCAACGGAATGCACGAAGAAACTTTGTAGTCACCCTGTATAATCTATATATAGACGTACTCTGCGATATTCCTGGTTTTCTCTTAACCATTCCAAAGAGATAATTTTATTCCAAGGCCTGATTTAACATTTCGTCAAAAATTCTTTCTAAATAGCTTATTTTTGGCTGTGATTTACCAAATTCTATGAAAAATATCCTCAATAATTTAGTTACAAATTATATATTATAATTTAAAACAAAAACATACCACATATGCTACTATACAATTAACAGAAATCTCGCAAACGCTTCTATTTTTAACCTATAACATCAGTACAGACAGAATAAGAATCTAAATTAAGTTTTAAAAATAATATTTTTAAAAAGTCAAAATTTAAAATACTAATTGTTTGTTTTTAAGCACAAAGCTACACAATAGGCGTAATAAACCCTCGGTTTTACCGCTGAACCAAATGTAGGCTTAAAAACTGAAAGGAAAAATTACTGCAAGTTATCATATATTGTTTAATATCTGCATAATAAACATTTATAACACAATATATATGCATTGTACTTCAAACTCCCGTGTTTTAGATATGATAGTGGAATGAACTTTTAATTCTGTCACGACGCCACAAGATAATTAATTACAAAGAATTGTTTCACTGACCGCTAAAAGTAAACTTAATCACTGTTGTATAAGTTAAGTTAATCTTAGCTTCTCAGAAATGACTACAATAAATAAAATCAACACTTATTCGCTAAATAAATACATATTATAGCATTAAAGGTCAATTAAGTCAATTAACCTGTGAAATTCCATTTTAGGTGTCGCCACTGTATGGCCAAGTACCTGAGCTTTTTGCTAAACAGATATATAAACATTAGCCAAACAAACAAAAAAATTCCAATCATATGTTACTACCTAATACGATATGTGGTACCCTCAGACCTGCCACTTGAGATCAGGCCAACTGACAGCAGTTGAATTTCTCAACAACAAAAAATCGGCAAACACACAAGTTTCTTATCAGTGCACTAGAATGACATGGAGGTTAATGACCTTAACACAAATCTATATATATATCCACATAGTAAAGTCTGCTAGCCTTCCCTCACAGTGCAAGAAGACGGCGCCAGACCGTCAGGTCACGTGATCTACACAATAAACAAGACTTGGAAATTGATGGTGATCACCTGCATAGTAAACATTTCACTACCCTAACTATATATATATACGAGTTCAGCAACAAGTGTTACTTTACATACGTGTATGTATTATCAGTTTGTTAAGGACCTATTTATCATCACAACCAATAACTAACTACTTTTCTTCGTCACTCATTGCCCTCTTTTGGTTGAGTTCGTTATGCTTCATCCTCTGTACCATGCACTAATTTTGAAGAAAGTAATTAAATTTCTATTCCCTCCACTATGATTATTGTGACTATTATATGGTTATGATACATGATGCGGTATTCAGTTGTTATTTTTTTGCCGTTTCAGCTTTAGGTTTAATGTAATTTTTCAGCGTTTCATTATTTATCATCCTAGTGTCAAAGCATCCCCTTTCTTATGTACTTAATTTATTTTGTTTTTTATTTTTACTCTTTGAAACATTCGTTATTGTTAAAACACGTACCCCAACAGAATGTGAGGTCACTCTGCAAACAAAAAAAAGTTGAATTACACGGTTTAGTCAAAATTAAAACGTAACAGCATGTCAAAAACTTAATTTTTTTGACAACGATTAAAAGGACCGACTTGAGATAATGTTCGCTTGGAAACTATTTCAAGAATCTTAAAGGGATTTAACTGCAAGGTTGAGAAACCATCGGTTGCGAAACCGAAGGTAAAATTCTTACAAGAGCTCAGTTCAAAAATGGAATAAATAAATAACGTCATCGATTTTCTTCAACGAAAGGTTTAAGAACTTTTCTCCATAAAATATTACTTACAGTGAAATTTTATCTAATCGCGTGCAATTTTACTGTAACGGGCGTCTTCAAAGAATTTCCAACTAAGGCTTTTAATATTAAGTCAATTATGTATAGTTATAAAATTCGTTACTTTCAATTTACACTGGTGGCGAAAACCCCATAGAAAGAGAAGGAACGAAGATATGGGAATTTTTGTTTCAGTTTTTATAAACAACAACAAAATTTTGCAATTTTTTGGTTAAATGCTTTCCGAGCATTTTCGCCTAGTACTAGTAGTAGTCGCTGATCTATATCTGAAACAACGCTTGCTGGAAACCTAACAATTATTTTTAACTAGCTCTAACACCATCACTTCAATATGTAAACTTCATTTCAAATCTAAACATTTTAAAAACAACTAATACAAATCTAAGGTGAAAAACTTTATTAATATATAGTGTAATTACCTTGAACATATTGGTCTTTGAATGATGTATGTGCTATTTTAATTTAAGTACTGCTTTTTCAAAGTATTGAAATTTTCCAGTAGCACCCACCTCATTATCCAGCCAACAGACAAGAAATGTTATATTCAGCTATATACCTACTTTTAACCTATCTCAATAATGTTTTTTATACTGTTCCAACACAAGATACCTCCAATCTCAAACCGTATCCGTCACGATTTCAAACATTAAGCATCACTACTGACGTAACGGTGACATCAACTTCTAGTGGCTCGCGCCGTCACGCCCCCTAGGGATAGCATTCCACCCTTGCCTAAACTAAATGGTTGAGTCACCACTAGGCATCGTAAAGAGAACTGTATTAAAAATACAAGTTTCTTTCACCACCCACCTATACTCATTTAAATGCACAGACACACTACACATTCTATCTACAAAAAATGAATAACTTCCTGCTTTCTAAGCCTTTTTATTTGTTAGTGAGTTATCTGTTTATAGGATTTCTCACAAAAAAGCGATTCGAAATGTACAATATGAGCTCAATGGCTTTCAATGATACTGGTATAGTTGAATTAGCCTTTTTTGTTTTGTTTTGCAAATAACTTGTTTAGTAAATAAAGTGTTATTTCATACATATAATCAAGTTTTCATGGTCTTTGTATCACATTTTGTGAAACGGACAAATACATTTCACTCTAGACAAACCAAGGGATTTTTTCCTTTATGAAAATTCATAGGTTTGAGTAAGTTATATTAAAAAGATTTTGAATATGTAAATCAGCAAGTCACGTGACAACCACTGCTAATATAACATCGCGGTAGAACGGACTATATCAGAACTACATTTTGAAATCGTGTGGTGTAATACTACTGATAAACTGATCGCTTTTCGGAAGGGTATGCAACAACACTTTCCGACATAAAATAGCCATACGTTAGGACCATAAAGATGTGTTCAGATCGGTGATTTAGAATTTTCAATTTGTTTATATCCCCTATACTTAATGGCATTGGTAAACACAGGAATATAAATCAGCTTAAGGAACAAGGACCGTTCAGAAAAAGACCTGCAACAAGTCGTATCCCAGCTGTAGTAAATAAAGTGTTGGGTCGTCTAACAGGCTATACTCCAAAAACACACAAGTCAGCGGCAAAAGTCATCCACGTGCCCCAAGCAGCAGTACGCAACATAAGCAAGAAGGATTTCCATCTGGAAAAGCGAGACAAGTCATATATAACCAAGTTGCTTCACGCCATAGCCCTTCAACTTTTGCATAACTTAAGTAGTTGGAGAATGAAACGGGTATTTATGCCATTGCCCATGAAGACATACCGATCAAGTCACCAGACGCAAATAACTACGAGGTTATGTTCGACCATACTGTTGAAATCAATCGTTCTTGCACACTAGGTGGATTATTGAAAGCAAGCAGCAAGGAGGGGTGTGCTTTGAACGAAACAGCCTTACGACAGATCTTTTTGCAATGGAAATAGTACTGCAGGACTACTTAACTTCTGTACAGGTCAGGTATTTGTTTACAGCAATGGATGCTTAACATCTTCTGCTCAACCCCCTTAAAAATACAAAGAACAGAGGTACTGAAGAAATAAGACGTTTTATTACCCCCCCCCCCTTTCAAATTTCTATCAATTATTAGGTTTCATACAAAATATGTAAAGCATACGTAAAATAGTATTCAAATATTAGTTTTTGGATTTCCATATCAACTCAAGAGAACTGATAGCTTAATTTCTTAAATGTCTCTTATATACCTGAAATAAACAGCAGAGAATTCAACCGACCATTTCGAGGTTTTCAAAAGAAAGTCGAAATCGCAACAAAAACTTGGTATTTCTCCCGATGTTGGGCTGGATTGATTATATTTCTTTGGCGAACTATCATACAAGCTACGTATCTGGTCATGACGCTATCTAACTTTTAAGACGTTTTAAAAAAAAATTGCATAGTGTTTATATATTACACTGAAATCATCCCAACTTATGTCCATCAAAATCACTACCTATCTAGGCCATTATGAATTAAAACTATGACAGATAATAGCAGTTAATGTTTATAATATTACTTTTACGTTAAACTAAAGCAGTGTAACCTAAGTACAACTGTCGTAATTTGATACTTAAAAGTAAGAGAAAAATTAAAATATGTCATTTACATTTCTATTTAAAATGACAAAAAAAGGTTTCAAAGAAGAATGTTGAGTGGTCTTCAAATTAGGCCTAACTCAGAGATAAAGTATAACTTTTAATTTAGTTGTGTCCAAGCACTAACTTAATTAACGCTACTAAACCTGCCAATACAACTGTAACAATTAAAACAAAAAGGTGGCAAAAGAACTTACCTAATAGTTTCCACAATCTCAACAGCCCCATCATTCTTGTCCTGTAAACATATAAGAAAAGCAATTATGAGTTAAATTCGGGTATTTACTTATTATCTATACAAAATAAAGAAGCTCGTGACAGCGTATTCCCCAAGTAATTCCGCTGACAGACCTAGCAAGTTAGCAACCCTATAAACACATGCACACGAACGCTTTCTCGAGATCGCAGCGATATCTACCGCTCCACAAAGAACACGCTTAGAACAAAGCTACATAAACAGTTATATTAGAAGATACTTACTGAAGATGACAAAGGCCAATAGTAAATAGCCGGCTCTACTCCAACAGGGCTGTGTAAAAGTAACTGTTGAGCCATTATCCTTTACCCTATACAATCAATTTCACTAAGTTAAATTATCATCTAACTTCGAGCTTCATATATTTCTTATTTTGCTACAAATCAAGGAACCACGAAAGCCTCCGCTCACACGTCCATGTGTGACGGAGGCGTTGTCACGTGAATTCGGTAAAAACGAATATATGATTGGTGGGAAGGCAAGCAATGGCTCCGCTCTCTAACAGAGCGTTCATTGGCCAGTTATTCAGCTTTGTTCCGGAAATTGAACATTGTGCCGCGAACTTCGACTTCGTCATCAACCTACATAAACAACGTGACTGTCAATGTGATCTGTCCATTAAGCAGTTGATAGATAAAGGTAATTATATGAGCAAATGATATTTTCCCCACTATATTCTAAAAATCTTTATTCGAAAAATTTAATTTTCAGTTATATTGAAACTAATTATTAGTTTATGCCCGAAATTCGAATAAACAGTTGTATTAATTCGAACTTACGCTTCAAAACAAATATATTGTGCTAATGTGGGTAAGTTGAAATATTTCAGATACACACTAGGCTTTATAACATATTATGAAAAAGAAAATTTAATCTACTGTCATGTTCAGATTTGGTATTTTTAAAAAGTTCTGTGTTTATCAATAACATGATACATGTTGCTATTTCATTTTTATTATATAAATAAATACCAATTTGTAAATATACACCTGGAAAAAAGTTAAGCACCCCCGTGTTTTTTTCAAGTGATTCAGATTCGACGTTCTTGTGACTGATTATAAATTACCATTCAATCTAAACGTGTTTATCAAATGAAATTATGCATTATTG